TGTGTGTGCGTGTGTGTGTGCGTGTGTGTGCAAATGGAGAGAATATTTGAATTTGGGGTAGAAAACTAAAAATAAAATTAAGGATAACTGTCAAACATCGAAGTGATGGACCCAGAGAGAATATCAACTAGGTTTTATTCTTTTGCATGTGAACTCTTTATTTTTCTAGATTCTGAATGTCTGAACTTCTTTTTCTTTGTGTTTCTCTCATATAAATATTTTAATGTAGAATACTTGAGGATCATCTTGAAAGTAGAGGTCATGGAATAAATAAAACTAGAAAATAATTATTAACATATTAAGGCACAAGATATCACAATTTTAAAAATTGCATTATTCCAGAGTGAGAAGCATGCTGGTGTTAGCATATGGAGTGATAGTTTATGCTTGAACATTTTTTATTTCTAATAGCTTACTGAGTGCACAGTGTGTTTTAACACATCTTAAATTTGATTTCATATATACCATTTAACCATATCAATATTTATATAATTTAACTACTTACACAATGATTTCATGTATGATATTGCTAAAATAGGAGGGATGGTACATTTTAAAAATTGTTTTCAAGTAAAAGGTGTAAGCAAAATGAAAAAAATTCAACAAAACTGTGTGGGTGGCACTCAAATAGGAAGCAATTTTTTAATTTTTATGAATTTTCATTCTTCATAGACAGTTAAAGACCTAGGTTAAAGACCTAGGCATATTAATTTCAACTGAGCACTTGATGTTATGGCCTTATGAATGAAAGTGCTCAGGCGGAAGTTGAATTGTGTGCATTATATATTTTGGAAATGAATGGGATGAATCCATCCTGAGTATCATCCTATTTCCTGTGCAAAGTCAACCATTATATCTTGGACTGCAGGAGAAGCTATGATTGTCCCTGACTCCTAGGGGTATGTAATGTGTCCTGGAATAATGTATGTCATGGACAATCTTTCACAACAGCACTGTGAAAGCACAGACTTCAATCAACAGCACATGACTGAACCAGGTCAGGAGCACAGCCCCCTTCACTGTGTCCACAATGAAGTCGTTCCCATCCTCTGTGCTATTGTTCAGTAACCTAACTATAACTCTCTCTCTCTGTCTCTCTCTCCTTATTTCTAGACAAAATGCAACATCTCACACCAGATTTCTGGGCTTGGCAAAGTTGCAAATTTTATTACGCAAAAGTTGAGAGGGAGAAAGCCGAAGAGAGCTAAATACAGTACACTTTGCTACTATGTAGTATCTGTATTTGGGGCTCGGGGTGTTTTATTTTTAGATATCTATTAATACACAGCAAGAGATACAGAAAGAAAGACACGAAACATCACTTTATCAAGGATTCAAGTGTAACATGCAAAGCAAGAAGAGCCATAACAAATAAGTTGCAATGGTGGTTTGGTGGGGGGTGGTGAGAGGCCATACTTTAAACTTCCTTCTCCCTTCCTTGCTTCTGCAGGGTCTTCCTCTTAGGAGCTGGGAAGCAGGGTGGGGTCCCAAAGAGCAGCCTATGGGCCTTCCCCGTGGATTTATTATTATTTTTGTTCTGATCTTCTCTCCTCCAGCTCTCCTTCCTTCCTCTTCTGCAGAAGTGGAGGAGAGGTGGATCTAGCTTGCCAAACTGGTTTGTTGAGCTTCTCTCTCCCTCCCCATCTTGATTCTTGGGAAAATTCTTGTCGGCCAGAGCTCCCTTCTCTGGGCTAGAAGGGGGGTTTCCTTTCCTTCTGAAGAAAGAGAGCTTCTCAGGAAGTGAAGGCAAGATGGACAGAAGGAACGGATGAGAAATGGGAAGGGGACGGGAGAGGAGAGGAGAGAAGAAGAGAAGAGGCACATAACAGAATGTGTGTTTCCTGGAAGTGCTCAGGGTTCAAAGAGATGGAGACAGGACTGTGTTTGGAAAGAGGGGAACCCTCCAAATTCTGAAGCCCTGTGTGTTGTTGACTTTAACAGCGCTCCCAGGGGCCCTCAGTGTGGGATGGGGGTGGATCGCCCACTTTTTGTATTTATAATTCAGCTACTCAGTTCAAGGATGACACAGACAGGATTGCTGTGGGAAGGTGTGTGGGCAGTTTCATTTTGCTTCACTTCTCCAGCGGCTGGTACCTGCTGGGCAACCTCCCAGAGCAGGGGTGCCAGGGGAGAGAAAGACCTCCCTTCCGGAGGACAGCCCAGGCTAGACCTGGAGGGGCTGGGGAGGGCGGGGTGTTCTTTCCCAGGAGGACAGGTTGGGCCTGACTTATGGGGCGGGTTTTCAGTGCCAGCTGCCAGGAGGTTCAAGTCAAGGGTGAGGAGGGGGATCCTTGCCAAGACTCACTTCCCAGATTATCTTTCCCTGGCTCCGGGGAAGCTTGGCTAGTGACATCAGCCATCCCTGTGGCCTTCTGGGGTAAGAGGTCAACGCAGATGGGCTGAGGTGGCAGAACTGTCCTCTGGCTTGGGTGTCACCCTTCATCCTGGGGGAGCTATATCCTTCCCCTTTCCACTGTGGCTGAGCTGAGGGGATCCGGGCGGGGGAGCAGAGAGTCCACCGGAGACCCCCGGAGAGTGGGTGGTCTGACGCCTCTCTGGCTGCTGGTCTGAGAGGAAGAGCTCCTGCCTCTTCCTCACCTTCAGATCTCACTCTGGGTCGTTGCAGTGAACTCTCCTTCATTTCCAGGGAGGTCAGGGCCGAACATAGGGTTGAGAGAAAGTGCGTTTGTGGTTCTTTTTATTGATGTTGCTTTTTTTTTTTTTTTAAATTTTTGAGCCACACCAAAAACTGTGCTCAGGGCTTACCCCTGCCTCAGTGCTCAGGGATCACTCCTGGCTGAGTTTGGGGGACCATATGAGGTCCCGGGGGGCCACATGCAAGGCAAGCAGCCTACCAGCTGTACGCCCCACATTTTTTTGGCTTTTTGGGTCACACCTGGAGATGCGCAGGGGTTACTTCCGGCTCTGCGTTTAGGAGTCACTTTCTGCAGTAGTTGGGGGACCTTATGGGTTGCCAGGGATGGTACCTGGGTCGACTGCAGTCAAGGCAAAAGCCCTAGTCACTGTACTAGGTTCAGGTTCCTGCAAAGACTGCCTTTTTGATTCTAGATATGAAAGGGCAAACTCAGAGGAAAAGGAAGGGGAGGAGGAGGAGGAGAAAGTGGGTCTAAGAGATCATCTAGCGCATTGAAAGTGACTCTTCACAACCCTCACTTTCTGCCCCAGCGGGGCACTGGAGAAAAACAAGATGGGGAAGTGGAGAAGCCTCTCCTTGACAGCGTCCTTAGGTGCCAGAGCTCGACTTGACTTTCCAGCGCGGGCTCAGAGCTCTGCTTTTATCCACTCGGGGCCCAATGCAACCGGACCATTTCTGGGTGCATTTCTGCTTCTCACCTGAAAACGTCCGTCTTAGGCCTACTTTAGACATTAAGTTTCTGCTTTAGACATTAAAGCATGCTGTCACCTCACAGGAACTGCCCTGTGGGGCCCCGAGAGGGTATTTCAAGGTTAAATAGACAGGAAATTGCTTCGAGAATGTCAACACGGTTATTAAAGTGTTTATCTTGATGCCCTTATTCAGCACTGGCGTTTCCTCCTGGCCAACACCACCCTCACTGCGGGTTCCCCTCACGCTCCTTTACCTTCAATAACGAAGCAAAAGTGGTAGTGGTGGTGGGGAGTCCTAGAAAGGACGTCTGGATAAGAGGGGGGGCATACAGGAACTCCTTGGAGATGCTCCCCTATTCTAGCACCAGGCACCCTTCTGCTTTGTGGATGCAAAAGCCTTATCTTGGCCCCATAAAACATCAGCCCCTGTAGCTCTTTATCTCCCCCTGGTGGTCCTCTCTGGCTTTTTTCCTAAAGACTGTCGCTTTGGGAACGGGGCGATCACCCAGAAGAAACGGGACCCAGAAAAAATAGCTTGGGGCGGGGGGGTAGGGGGGATGAAAAGGCGAGGGGGCTTCTCCTCTACAATATTGAAAGCACTTGGATAGATGCCCGAAAGAGCGCACGGCTGCTTTTACGGTTTTCCTTCCCTGATGAATCCCCTCATCGACCCCCTCCACTGCCAGCCTGCACCCCACCCCCCTACACCTCCATCCTCGCCACCCCACCCCCCACCCCTTTCCCTGGATGCAAAGACTTGGGGAACAGGGGCTTTCACGGAGACAGAAGGAGTTGGCCCTACCCAAATAATCCCACCCGGAGGAACGGGAGGGAGGTCGAGCGTTTCCTTGTCTGATCTCAAGACATAAAAGGAAAATGAATTGAACAACAATTAAAAAAAGGGGGGGGGGGAGGAGAGGAAAAAAAAAAGGAGAGAGTCTCCCCGCGCACAACAATACAATCTATTTAAACCGGAGCTCATACTTTTCATACCAATGGCATGACTTTTTTTTTTTTTTTTTTTTTTCTGGAGTCCCGCTCCTGATTCTTGAACTCTGGGGCTGGCAGGCGGCACAGAGGGAGCCGCCGGCAGCCTGCACGGGCAGGTTTACCAAAGGTCTCTAATGGGTATTTTCTTTTTCTTAGCCCTGCCCCTGAATTGTCAGACGGCGGGCGTCTGCCTCTGAAGTTCGCAGTGATTTCCTTTAGAGCCCGGCCTTATCTCGGGCCGCACGTTGCCTGTGGGTGACTAATAACACAATAACATTGTCTGGGGCTGGAATCATGTTGGAGCTGTTTACCCCCACTCTATAGGGGTTTAATATAAAAAGGCGGCCGAGAGCTGTCCAAGTCAGACGCGCTGCCGCTCCTGCCCAGCGCCAGACGCACCCTCGGCGCGCCGCGAACCACCTTCGCGAGCGGCTGCAACGGAGGCTCTGCCTTCTTCTCCCGCATAAATTCTCTGATTTTCCCCTCCCGTCTCGGGCCACTGCGGCTGGCTTTGAGATCACTTTGAGATCTGAATAACCAGGAGCAATCCGAGGGAACTAAAGCTTTTTTTTTTTCTTTTTCTTTTTTCTTTTTCCACTGTTCTCCCTCCCGCGTTGGGGTAGTTTGCAGGGGAGTATTTTTCTCCACTATTATCATTTTTTTTTTCCCCACAATGGGTTGTTTCCCGGTGATTTTCTTTCTGCTGTTTGTGGCTTTCCAAGGAGCTCCAGAAACAGGTAGGCACGTTTACTTATTAATCTCTGAATTTGAAAGTTTTCCTACTCACTATAATGCTTTTCTTGCTGTTGACCCAATATTCTCTCTCTCTCTCTCTCTCTCTCTCTCTCTCTCTCTCTCTCTCTCTCATTGCAGCTCAGATTATGGAGGAATTATGGCTCAAAGCTACTTAAGTTTTCTAGTGGGGAAAATCCCTTTGTTGTTGGATGTTTATTGCAATGTTAATCGCATTGCAATAAATTATCATTATTAAAAAGTATATTCTTTTAATTTTTAAAATTTTCTTTCAAGAAAAGCAAAGGCAAGGTATAATGTAGCCAAGTGTGCATTTGCAGTATATGTGTTTACGCAGGACGTAGGACTGATACGGGAACTTGTATATTATGAAAATCCCCGTCTGAACAGTGAGTTACATGTAAAATATTTCAACATTTCAGCTTGAAGTCAAGATATTTTATTCAAGTCATTCAAGCAGTATATGAGCAATGGAATCAGCTGCAGAACAGTCTGTTGAATAATCCCCCCCAGGCAGTTTCAGGGCGAAGCAGATGTTTTCTTTAAAATTTGTCATTATTGACTTTACGTTTCTTTGGGCAGGTTTTTGGCAGCTGTAGTGTGAGTTCTGTTTGCAGTTTTATTCACCTGCCCCAAAAAAGGAGTGACTAGATCTTGGCTAGGGGGAAGTCTTAGCTGCTTATGGATTTAGATAGTAGCAGATCATCTCAGCCCCCCATCCCACCCTCTTCACCCCGCCTTCCCTTTAGGGTCAATGCACATGTTTTGTCTTTTCATGACCCTGGCTAACCAGGAAAGATGCCAAGGGAATGCAGATCCCCTGCAGTGCCTGATGGTTGGGAATGTACAAAGTGGGACCAAGAAGCCACACGGCCAGCTTGTCAGGAAGAGGCAATGCTGCTGTGGAAAGGGGGTGCTGGCGGGTCCAGATATGCCACTTTTGCCCAGGATTCCACATCCCAGAACCTCAACTAGTCCAGAGCTTACTGCCCAGTCTGCGTCTTGGGGTCAGCGGCATCTGCAGAATTGGCCACCTGAAGGGAACGCTTTAGAAAGCAGTTTGCTCTTCCTCCTCTCCAATATCTCCCCAACGTTTTGGCTCTCCAGCAAATTCTGAAAGGAAGCCCTGCCAACCCACATCGCCCTGCCACCAAGGGTGCTGAACGGTGGAGGAGGTCTTAGCAGGGGAATTATCACCCAGCGCAGGGAGGAAGTCTCAGAAAGAGGCAGAGTGATCTCTACGTGTTTTTTCCCCCCATTTTTTAGGGGGGTGTTATCAGGCAACAACAATAATAATAATAATAATTATTATTATTATTTTAAACCCTGGTGGGTCGTGGTCTCAGGAAGTTCCACTTAGAGGCGAATCCGGATCCCAACCCGGGAGGGAGCCTTTCCAAGCATTTCCTTGAAGGCTGCTTCCCGGGGATGGGGGTAGGGGTGGGGGCAAGCGGGCAAGACTCTTCTTCCAGGCGTGACCCTTGCACGAGTTTTGTCTGGGAGGGTGGATTCACCAGTGCGGGGGTGGGGTGGGGTTAAAGGTGAGGTCATGCAGCCGTCAGGAGAGAGAGAGAGAGAGAAAGAGAGAGAAAGCTGCATCTCCGGGCAGGCTGTCTGCTCTCTGCTCTGCCAGCTCTCCGTGCTCCGAGCGCGCCCCTGCTGTGCTCCTCCCCTGCCGCCGGGCACTGACCCCCCCTCTTTGTCTCCCTACAGCCGTGCTGGGGGCCGAGCTGAGCACGGGAGCCGAGGGCGGAGGCCAGCCGCCGACGCCCGGGGCCCCCTGGAGGCCCCGCCGTTCCAAGCGCTGCTCCTGCTCGTCCTTGATGGATAAGGAGTGTGTTTACTTCTGCCACCTCGACATCATCTGGGTCAACACTCCCGAGTGAGTCTCTAGAGGGCGTCGTCGCCCCAGTCATTTCTCCCTCCCGGCGGCCAGGGACCAGGCTGGAGCCCGAAGCAGCTTTTCAAGGGGGAGGTCAAGGGTGGGATTCTGATTGGGAGCGTTTCGGATCACGTGCCATGACTGAGAATAGCCGGGCAGCTCAGTGCTAGGAATAGAGGCAGGGGGACCCCCGGATCAGATGCCCCGTGGCAGGATATAGATGCCAAGAACGCAGGGCAAAGCCTGAGGTTGTAATGATCCCAAGAGGAACTTGAGGATCTGGATTTAAGGGGTCAATTGGCCTGAGGACAGAAGGTTCTTCTTGCATTTGAATCCACTTACTTTATTTCACTTACTGTGACAGACAGGTGTGGAAGAAATGGGTTTGCCCCAAGACTAGAAGCTGAATGCCCAAGTGTACTTTCAAGATAGAACCGCAGACCATAGATGGAATCCCCCCCACCCAGGTCATAAACAGGAGCTCTGTCCCCAAACTGTAGGAGGCATGTAGACTTAAGGAACCACGGGACATTTCTGCCCAGTCTTTGCTTATGGCACTTTGAAAATTACCTGACAGTCCATAAAATGAAATTCTTTTTTTTTTTTTTTTTTTGGGAAAATCTTTGTGAAGATTTTGTATTGAATTCCCCTCTGTCCTCTACCACCAATAGTTTGGAACCAAAGAGAACTTCAGAAAAAAATGGGAAAAATTCAGACACCCAAAGCAGAATTGTTCATTTTAGATTTTAAAAAATACTGCCTGTCTTGAGAAGTGATTGACTTTGTTAAGGAGTCAAAGTGGAATTTCCCTGAACTAGAAAAAATTGGTTTCTCCAGCTTGGCCCTCACCACCCCACTCCCCAAGGATGCACCATTTAAAGACTACTAATTATGCTCATTGCTCTTCTTCCTCTTCTTTTTTTTGAAAACAGGCACATTGTTCCATATGGACTCGGAAGCCCTTCAAGGTCCAAGCGATCCTTAAAGGATTTATTCCACACCCAGGCAGCTGATCCCAAGAAGAGATGTCACTGTGCTAGCCAAAAAGACAAGAAGTGCTGGAATTTTTGCCAAGCAGGAAAAGTACGCAGGTGAGCAGAAAGATTTGCTTTCAATCATTTTTCGAGTCCCCGACACCTTTTTTTTTTAATCTTCTCACTGTCCTCTTCTTTAAAAGAGATGAACAAGTGACATTGAGTATGTCCCATGGTTCCTTGCTGAAATATTTTTCTTTCTGTGGACTTTAACAGGGACCAAGACACTATGGAGAAAGTTTGGAATAAACAGAAGAAAGGAAAAGGCTGTTCCAAGCTTGGGAAGTGTATTCATGAGCAACAAGTGGAAGAGAGAAAAGCAAGAAGGTAAGAGGTTTCCAAGAATTCTGACCCCTTGCACCAGTGTTGATGATCCTGCTTTCCCCCTACTTCTTTTTTTGCTGGTTGTCTTAGAAAAATAAGCAGGACAGTAACAAAGCAGATCATGACATTACATAGATTTGTTGAGAACAATAGAACTCCTCTCAAATATTTAGTGCACAGCACTAAATCTAACCAAATCTACCAAAATCTTGTTATATTTTCCAAACAAAATACACCCAGAGACATCTTTGTCTGTTGGTATTTGTCTCTACTTCTTTGAGTCCAAGTGTTCCCTGTTTGTCCCTAAAGAATTAAAATAATTGCAAGGAGAAGTATTTTTAATACTCAAGTGCCAAGGATAATCAAATTCTTCAAGAAGCAGCAGGTTTTCAAATGGCCAAAGGGAAAATAAAGTCGTTAGGTAGGGTTGATGAGAGTTAGAACATACCGTTTTCTGGGCTTACTTATTTATTTTTTTTAGCAGGGAATGCTTTTGGTAGACAGCCAACGGCATTCCAAGAAAAACGCTCACATTTTTTTCTAGTTAATTCTGAACTAGGTAGGACAGAGAAGGAATATGAGTTAGGAATCCCCAGGGCTCTTGTAAGCAGCCCCCCACAAGGAGGACCCTTCCAAACCCCACACTTTTGTAAAGCACATGTTCTGCATTCCTCTGTTCTGGTCTGCAGAGACTTTTCCTAGAAACCCAGTACCAAGAAGTTCTGTGATCAGGTGCTCTGAGCAGGCATCTGACAATGATGAGCTGCTTCTGAATTGTTTACTACTTAGATGTGTAGTTTCCATATGCTTGAGCTTAGGTCACAAACGCTTCCTCCCCTAGATCACAAGATTATGTAAGCTACCATTTCTGAATGCACTCAGGAATCGTGTTTTCCTACTAGTGTCCAGGAGAGCAATATGAAACCAACATTAAAGTTCTTCCCAATTTTTGTTTTTCTCCTACTAAAAGAAAATCAAATACATATGCAATCGCTGTAGAACCTTTGCTAGGGGTCTACAGTGCTTATTTCTCTCTTCTTTCTTTTCCACTAAGCCTCCTTCATTCCTATGTAATTAGAGTTTCTGTTGAGTCCCGTAGTGATGGTGGTTGGGATGAAGCAAACTAAAGAGACTGTCTTTAGCTTATCTTAAATTTGTACTTTGAAATTGTATTTAATGCCTCGTTCTCTTGAATATGACCACACGGGCCTTTTCCACCGCCCCATCCCCGATCTAAGCATGAGGAACAGTCTAGATTTCCCTTGAGGTTAGCAAAGAGTAGCAAACTGTTGCGGTTGGTGGGGAAAGTTCAAGAGCCACTTAGATTTTGTTTGTGCCAGATTCTAATTTTAGATGTTTCTTTAGTCCAGGAACGATTTTTTTTTTAATGCTGTTTTTTCTCTTGTCTCGTTTTAATAGGTTGGAGAGCCTCAGCAACAGGATCAAAACATCTTTCCGTACAGCAAAGCTGAAAGCTGAGCAGAGAGAGAAGAAAGTGACCCATAACCGAACACACTGATTGCAGATGGTTTGGGTCTGTCGGATGCATGGTCCTCCACAGAGAGCGCACGCGCGGACCCGCCCCTCTCTCAGCACCGGCTTCAATCAGCGCAAAAGCATCCACCCTGCTTAGACCATTACTTGTTCCAGACTGGCCAAGGACCCCAGGGTCCTCCTTCTAAACATTCCAGGAAAAGCTTAAGGACTCCCCGAACTGTCTTCGTTTGCTCTCATCCAAGATCTCTCTCCTTGGTAGGGATGACAGAGCGCCACGTGGAGAGCAGGGACAGAGTGACAAAGTTGAGGGTGACAGTCTCCAAGAAGGGAACTAGAGAGGAGACTCTGCCTGCCATTGGCGTCCCTGTCCCGGGTCCGAAGGCGGTGTTTGTGTCTCAGTCAGGCGCCTGGCACATTTCAGGGAAAAAAAAAAAAACCCAAAGTCCCCGCAAAGATTTTTCTAAGGAATGCACAAATTAAAAACACACTTGAAGGATACTCAAGGGTTTTTTTTTTAGGCAAAAAAAAAAAAAAGACTTTTTTATTCGCAAAATACAAAACTGAAAGAAACGATTACTACTGTAAATCGGGATTTTTCATGAATATGAGTCTACCTCACCTCTATTGCACTCCAGCATCAATATTTCCCTACCTTTAATTATTTGCCTCCCTAAACGCTGCCCCCTTCCGCCACCTCCTCCCGCCAAACTTCCCTAGTAAAGTGTCACTCAGAAGCCTGGTCTCATGTGTCAATAATAGATAGAGCGTTTTCACAGTAATCTACAAGCTCTGATCCACAAGAGAAAAAGATCAATGAATCAGGAGATTCCCTTACCTTGATTTTTGGAAATACCATGGTATGGGTTTTCTTTTCTTCTTCTTTTTTCTTTTCTTTTCCATGAAAGACACTGAAAGAAAATGTTGATTGTGCTTTAAAGTGGCAGATTGTTACCCTTTGTGTAACTGGCTAATGGAAGAGGTTGGATGAAATTTTGATGTACTTATTTTTTTATAGATATTTATATTCAAACAATTTATTCCTTATATTTACCATGTTAAATATGTATTTGGGCAGGCCATATTGGTCTATGCATAATTTTTAACAATGTATTTCTGAATGAAATTGAGAAAATGATTTGTTTTGCCTGTCAAGGTGATGACTTTAGAAAAATAAATATTTTCCCTACTCTACTGATTTTGAATTGTTTCTGAATTTCCTAGGAAGTGGGTCAAAGTGGTAAAATTATGACAAAAAATGATTGAAAGATGGTTTTTGTAGAAGGGTGACTGTAAGAAGGAAAATAGTCTTGAATGAAGACAACAAACCACCAATTTGATTGAGATCTTAAAATTTGCCTGTAGACTATTATACTGTCCTCCAATTGTTCATTGATTTGCTCGAGCAGGCACCAGTAACGTCTCCATTATGAGATTTGTTGTTACTGTTTTTGGCATATCGAATATGCCATGGGGATCTTGTCAGGCTCAGTCATGTGGGCGGGATACTCTCGGTAGCTTGCCGGGCTCTCTGAGAGGGATGGAGGAATCAAACCCGGGTCGTTCGCATGCAAGGCAAATGCCCTACCTACTGTGCTATCGCGCCAGTCTGTAGACTGTAGACTGCATTGAAGTAAAAGTCAAACAAAACCCCACTCTGTCTTTTCTTGGTTATCAGCCTTCTGCCTCAGCTTTAGCTGAACATTCTCCACAGACTTCATCCATTAACTTTTCTTAGGGTCTTAGAAAGGATTCCCCAGGTTTAACTGGTTTAACTGATGATACTTTATAATAATGAAGAAGAAACAGTGGAAAGGAAAACTCCCCAAAGGGACCTGATTATGCATAGTTCTGCCACATCAGAATTGCTCTGGAAAAATTGCTCTGCACAGAGCAAAGAGGAGCTTCCAATGTCTCTTTTGCCCAGAGTTTGGTTTATTTAGGAGTACTGAACACTTTTGCCTCTTTACCAGAGCACAGAACACGTGTACATGGAGGAGAAAAATGTGCTTAATTTTGATTCTAAGTCTTTGTAGGACACCACTTCCTGCCTCTTGCTTTGTTTTGGCTGACCTTGATAGCCATGGGAGAGAATAGGCTTGTGAACTGTCATTAGCGACAGTCAACCCTGAACTTCATCAGCTTTTGGGATTATTCACAGCCCTTCCTAACAGTGTCTGAAGAAATGACTGGTATTCAACGAGTATTAGTTCACGGTGATCCTGATCCCTGTTTGTCTAAAGACGGACCCATCTAAGGGACAGAGCAATAATATAGCAGGTAGGGCATTTGACTTGCATGCATCAGACCTGGATTTAATTATCTGGCACCCCTAGAGTTTCCCAAGCTTACCAGGAGTGATCCCTGAGCTCAGAGCCAAGAGTAAGCCCTGAGCATCCCTGGGTGTTTCCAAAACAAAACAAAAGATAGTCACATATAAAGGACATTAAATAACAGCTTTAGGTATGCCTAGCCACTATCCTAGGCAGATTCTCTATCTTTATTGAATTGCTTTTCATCTCCAACTTTTTTGGGGGATTGGTAGTGCTCAAAGCCTACTTCTGACTCAGGAATCACTCCTGGATCGCTAAATGTGGTGCCAGAGGTTGAACCTGGGGTTGCTGCATACCATTGCTTTATCCCCTGTATGTTCTCTCTCTCCCTCTCCTTTCCTTCTTTTCTTCTTCCTTCCTTCCTTCCTTCCTTCCTTCCTTCCTTTCTTCCTTCCTTCCTTCCTTCCTTCCTTCCTTCCTTCCTTCCTTCCTTCCTTCTCTCCTTATCCAATGTGTTTGGGGGAACTCTTCAAAAGCATACTTTGTATAATAAACTGTGTATCTCAAGGGGATTGTGAAGTTTTGTCCAGGTTGACAAGGATCTTGACATGAATTTGGCTCCCATTTAATCTTGAGAAATCATTCCCTCTCCTGCAACGTGAGCTTTGTCTGTCAAGTGATGAGGGTGGAAAGAATTTCTTTCATAGCTTTAAGAGAGAGCCAGAGATCATATGAAGAAGTTAAAATGGCAGTGAAGAGTGATCTTAGATTGGAGGACAAGGGTTGGATGTCTTTAAAAGACTTGGAGAGGATGCTAGTGACTAAAAGAAGACAGTGATACACATTTATGCATATATATCTTCTCTCTCTCATACTCTCTCTCCATCCCCCACACTCCTTTTATCTTCCCTGCTTCCTCCTTAAGCAACTGGAAGGAAAAATAAAAAACAATCAAACAAACAAACAAATGCATGAAAGCTGCTCTCCTAGGACACGAGAGCCAGGAATAAAATAAGGTGAAGGTTTAGAGGAAATTACCACTTTTCAAGTATATAGAGGAACTATACAACATATCACTCAAGGCCAGCTTGTGGGATAAACAGACAGGACAGGTTGTAATACTTCTTCCTGCTTTTTGAGTAAAAACCCAGTTTCTGAGGCCTGGGAGATGGTCGAACAATCAGAGGCACATGCATAGCATGTGATGGATGAGTTAAAACCACTGAGTTCAAATCACAGGATATAATCCTCAAGGACCCAGGAATCCCTAGGTGAGGCTTAGAAGACCCCAAGCACTTCTGAGTATAGTCCTGGTGGCCCCAAATACTTTTAGGGTGGTCCTGGGGTTCCCTGAGCACTACCAGGAAGACACTATGATCCATGATTATGACACGGTATGGCCCTGGTGGTCTTCAGAGCTGCAGGCCCAAGCAGCACCACATCCTTCTTCTGGCTTGGTTGGCTGTGTATTACCTGGTATGGCCTCTGGGCCCTTGAGCACTGCTTGGGAGTCATTCTCTTTCACCACCACCCCACCAATTTCTTTTTTTTAAAGAAAGCCCTGCTGTTGAAACTCACCCAACAGATTTTCTCCTCTATATTAACAACCAGGTAAAGCGTTGCTTTCAAGGATTTAAGAAACTGAGGCAGGAGGTGGGGTTAGCAAGGTAACTTTTGTGGAAAGAAAGGGGCCTATGAATGTGTACTTCATTTTTTCTTCAAGGGTTCTTTGTTCTGTTTGTTGTGGTAGAAATTATCAGCTTGAATCCTTCATGGGCCTCCCTGGGTCACTCATGGTATTACACTCAGTTAACACGATTCTTCGTGTAAAAAACACATATATCACAATATCCATGTGTTGGAGAATCTCTCAAAGAGATTCTTGGTAACACTTAACCAACATTTTTGAGAAAGAGAATCTTTTGCTTTGTTAGATGAAAAAGCCAGGTCCCAGAAGGAGTGGCTCAGAATACACAGGAACTAAATCTTTGAACAAGATCTGGTCTAGAGGCCCCAAAGGTCACTGGAGGCTCTGGCCTAAGCAGACAGGAGCCGAAGGGGTTCTGTGCTCACCTGCCAGCCTACGGAGCATGGTTGGCAGTTCCATGCTCTTAGGAAAAAAGGAAGAAATGTGGAAGAAGGAGAAAGGGGTGTAAATAAGTATACCAATAGAACTGTGAGTTGGAACATACTAAGGATTTTTAATTTTTAAAATTATTTCAGAGTTTAATTAGAAAAATGATTGATAATATAATTGAAGGAGTATTTGTTTGGTCAGTTCTTCATTTTTCCTACTCTATCTTGCAAGGTAGTGTTTTCTTCTTTTTATTTATTAAAATTATTTTTAATTGAATCATATTGAGATACACAGTTACAAAGATTTTTATGATTGGGCGTCACTCAGATAATGTTCCAACACCCGTGTTTTAATCAACATATGTTTCCCACTACCAATGTTCCCATTTTCCCTCCTGGCCCCTCCTTCCAACCTGTCTCTATGGTAGGCACTTCACTCTCTCTTTCTCTCTCTCTCTCTCTCTCTCTCTTTCTCTCTCTCCCCTCTTTCTTTTTTCTTTTCTCTCTCTCTTTCCTTTTGGATATTATGGTTTGCAATAGAGATACTGAAAGATTATCGTGTATATCCCTGTTTAATTTCTCTGTCTACATCTTAAAAATATTTATTTTCAGGGGCTGGGAAGATTTTGTCCTCTGGGAACCACCAAGTATGAACCCTGAGCACAGGACCAGGAATCCATGAGCTGTCAAGTATGACTCCCAGCCTCTCCCCACCCCCCATACTTATTTTCACATTCCAACTCACAGTGTGTAAACATTGTTTTCAAGGCCAAGTTCTCAATGACATTCACTCTACCTCAGCATTTCCTCTCATGATTGCCAGGATCCTATGTCTAAGGCTCAGGGAATTGCTGCTGTAAGTGAACGTGGCTGTTCTTATAATTGTAGGTTTTAACTCTGACCTCTCATCTTTTTAACAATTCTCCATAGCATTTTCACTGCCATGTTTTTTATTTACCCTCTAAACTATCCACCTAACACACTTTAGGGTGGGTGTTATTAACACCATAGAATTTTCTATCCTGCACCCACTTGATGTAAAATTCAACTTGCCAGTGAAAAAAAGCATGGCGTTGTCTCCATATTACTCTTAGGAATACCAGTAGCCCACAGGTGCTAACAGGCTCTTTAAGTTTCCCCAATCTTCCTAATACCAGTACACATATGTCAGGACCCTCAACACTTTACAATGCTTCCTTCAAAAATCAGGTGCCCACAAGCCTCATTGACCACTCCTGAAGCAGATCCACTGGCTGGATAGAAACTTTTGTGATGACAAAGCAGGGAGAGGCTGTATCAGTTTCTCAATCTGGCAATGACCAGAGAAAGATCTAGCAACGATGTCATTGAATAATAAAAAGAGGGAACTTCTGCCTTGGGAACAGCAGGAAAAGAGGATTCCCCAGCTGAACCAAATTCTCAGGATTCGAGAGGCTAAACATGAAGAATCTGCCATGCAAACTACATGCTACTTCAAAGTGTAATCCATTTCTTGATCTTTCTTTCATGCTCTGAGTCATTCTACGTTCCTACCCTAAAACGCTCCGTGGAAGTATCCAGAGAGGAAGTTCACAACATTTAGCTACCACTGTCATGGTTCAAACCAGCTGGAACAAGACAGGTCAGACAGCACTGTGGGGGCAGGCTCCTGGGAGAGCTCAGCTAAGTCAAAGTTTTGTTGGTTGTTGTTTTATGCCCTCGACTTGCTGCTTCCCTTTATTGCTGCTGTTATTCTTGCTGACCTTGTTATTGAAATGACCAGGATTTCACCCATGTGAAAAGTTTCAGCTTGATGCTCACTGGGGATTGCACTTCTTAATCTTCAGTGTAGTGTTCACTGGGATT